CCCCCCCCCCCCCTCCACACACACACACACACACGCCCCCTGTGTCCAACAAATGGGCGGCAGCGGCAGCAGAAGTTGGGTCTTGTGTGCTTTCTCTCGGCTGTATTTGGCGCTGTGTGTGTATGTATGTATGTATGTTATATGTTATATGCAATATGTGCGAAGAGAGAGAGGGAGAGAGGGAGAGAGAGAGACAAGGGCTTGTTGGACATTCCTATTCTGGAAGTTACGTACTTACTTACTTTGGCGAGATTGGACTTGTGTACTGTACTGTACTGTACTGTAACTATACGTGGCTTTTTTTTTGCGCTGTTGCCGGACGACAACGACGACGATGATGATGATGATGATGATGATAATGATACCTTGCTTCTACATAGTTAGTGTTATGCCGTGCGCGGTACTTTCCGGATCTAAACCTCTCTTTTCCCTTTCTCTTTTTTCGTCGTTATCGTTGTTGTGCTGCTTATCGGGAGTTGGCGACCGATCGTGATGATGGCGGCAGTGTACGTACAGTAATGTGTGTGTGTGTGTATGCTACTGTAACTCTCATAGCAGCATCATCACCGTCATCATCATCGTCATCATCGTTGTCATCGGCGACATCAACCAGCCTCCTCCCCCCTCGCTTCCACCACACTGCCGACTACCCACACTACCGTACACCCCCCCCCCTCCCTGCTCGGAAGCCGCAGCATCCGTCGTTCCCGCTCCCATCGCGCATGGTCACACGGCATGAAAGGCGCGCGCGCGCACGCCATGGCATTTGTGTATGTATGTAAGTGTGTACCTAGTCGTCATAAAAAAAACCCCCCACACCAGCTTAGCTAGGGCGACGGGGAAGGGGGGGGGGGATTGAGCTCACGTGGTCGGCGACTGTTTTTCGTTTTTGCCTTTTTTGGTATGTGGTTTCGGGGGACAAGAGTGATTAGTTAGTGACAAGGCGTAAGAGAGAGAGAGTGTGTGTGTAGGTGTGTGTGTGTGTGAGAGAGAGAGAGAGAAAGAGGGGATCCATGTGGAGATACTCCACGGAACACCCTGTTTGCATACAGACAGACTCCTCTTTTTTTCTTCCTTAGAGGGGAGGGTGGATCTTAGTCTTCCAGTCTCCTTCCTTTGCCTTCTTCCTTATCCTTTGCATTCCCTTTCCCTCCCTTCCTCCCTTCCTCCCTTCCATCCCCTTCCGTCTTCCCTCCCTCCCTCCCTTCCTTTCCGCCCCGAATGCCACTTTGCGTAAGTCCGGCGCGGCGCCTCCGCATTCACATGACTCCACTTTTCCCCAGGTCGATCCTACATACATACCCACCCTCCACCTTCATCTATCTGGTCGATCCCCCGTTCCTTGGTGCTGCTACTGCTGCTACTATGGGGAAGAAGGAAAGGGAAGGGGGGAAGACGGTTCACAAGCTAAACAAGTCATGCAACCATATCCATGTGTGTGTTCTTTTTACCTCCGACCCGTGTGTGCGTGGTGGGTGGGTGGGGGAGGACAAGACAAAAAGCAATCTAGGTGGTTAATATAAATGTCTTGGAAAGTAGAAACTCCGACTTAGAGAGTCAGTTTAGTTGAAGTAACTAGTTAGTGACTTAATTGATCACCATACATGAAGTGGAGTTTGGTTATTGCCTATTTGTTCTAGCCCCCGTTTTTCTTGGGAGGGGGGGGGGTCAGCTAGCGTAGTAGCTAAGGTAATAGTTTTTACTAAAGGGGCAGGCGTTTATATTATGTGTGTATGTGTCAGTCAGTCGGTTGTGAGTGGGTGTGCGATCTTGGAAATCCCACGTGGGTTTTTATTTGATTTGAATTGTGGAGATAGCGTAGACATGAATCAGTGAGAAAATAAATAAATGAATAAAAAACAAAAGGTCCAGAGAAAAAGCTTGATTCAACGGTCGATCAAGGACACTGTGTAACTTCCAACGCTATCTGGCTCACTTTCTTCTTTGGTTGTTCCTTCAATCTTTAGAGGTGTGTGTGTGTGTGACGGCATGTTAATGAAGCTATAATTCCGTTATATACATAACCCGTCCCCTTTTATCCATCCAACCAAAAATAATCCGGCGTACATGTATTATTCGTGCCACATAATGGTATGACACGCACAGTTCAGCCTTGGCAATGGCGCTATATGCATCTCTACACACGTAACCGCGCTATATAGATGGAGAAAGAAGAAAAAGCCCTCCCCACCCGCCACCCGCCGATCCCCTGCCACACATCCACCACCACTACTACTACTACCCCGTCACTGCCAATACCAGTTCACCCGGAAAATTAAGAAACCAAAGCCAGATCGGCTTTTAGTGCCGTCCGCCACTCCCACTCCCACTCTACTTCAAACGCGCACACTGGACGACGGCCGTGCTGACGCATGCACATGCGGCAGTGGCGAAGCGACTAAGCAAATCAAGTAGAGACGCCAAGTGCGACACTAGCGTCCAGTTAGTAGGCAAGTCCAGGTCGAAGAAACAAAACCATGCAAGCTATGAATCGAGGCATGGGCGCGGGGGG